AAGTATACTACACTGTTCTCCTCTACAAAATAAAGTATACTACACTGTTCTCCACTACAAAGTATACTACACTGTTCTCCTCTACAAAATAAAGTATACTACACTGTTCTCCACTACAAAGTATACTACACTGTTCTCCTCTACAAAATAAAGTATACTACACTGTTCTCCACTACAAAGTATACTACACTGTTCTCCTCTACAAAATAAAGTACACTACGCTGTTCTCCACTACAAAATATTTTAAAAGAAATATTATCTTGTTTATATTAATGAAGTTCACAGGTGTAACAGAAATTCGAAATATTTAATCATTTCTCTTAGCAACGATAATGCCACGAAACTTGTAAATAATTATTGAGATTAAGAATAGAAATCTTTTAAACCTTTTCAGCAACCAGATGAAGATTGAGCAGTTAACCAAGCGGCTGGAAGAAACAGAATCAAAGATAAAGACAGAGGTGGCTCGAGTCAAGAAGCAATACCAGCTTCAGGTCACCGAACTTGAGATGTCGCTGGACTCTGCAAACAAACATAATATCGACTTGCAGAAAACTACCAAGAAGCAGAATCTGCAAATCACAGTACGTTTAAAATAAGCCGCACTGAAAACTATGAAGAAAGAAACCCTTTCCTTAAAACAAACAGTAGAGAAAGCCATAAGTAGTTACACTTAACACAGGATATTTGTATTAAGCCTATTATACTTTTATCACTGCATTCTTTATTCAGTCCCTTAAGGTTCTTCAACAACAAGAAGAAGAATGTGTAATAGTATTTAAACAACGGTATGTCTGTCCCCTATATTAAATGTGAACGACGCGTTTCACTCTATACAAAACTCATTCGACGTTTGGGACACAACCAAAACATCAGTGATAGGAAGACTATTTACAACAACGGTTGTTATGGTGTGCACACCTTTTCTAAGCTGGAGAAGCATGTTTATAATTAAATATACTTGTCATAAGACATCATGTTAGGCCTATTATATTTCTAATACTACATTCTTTACCAGTACAGCACCACAACGGGTTTAGTACAGCTTCACATTAGGCTTACTAACTGAAGAATTCACGAGACCCGAGTATAGAATCACAACAGGATAGTAGATATAGTAAACAATTCATCACAACATATTAGTAACTGTAGAGCTCACGAGAAGTTAAAGATTCATCACAGCAACGTAATTGATTTAAGTTAAAAACTCATGATATAATTACAACATTGTTATATAATTAACTGTCTAAACCATCCACACCAGAAGAATTATCACTCATTACCCCTTTAAAGACGTTCATGTACTTCATTTATAGGTTCATATACATATTCGAATCCATATAAAGTTTTGAAACGAACCATATTTATAACACATTAGCAGTTTCCAGGAATTGTCTGAAATGAACCATATTTATAACACATTAACAGTTTCTCAGGTATTGTCTGAAACGAACCATGTTTATAACACGTTAACAGTTTCTCAGGAATTGTCTGAAATGAACCATATTTATAACACATTAACAGTTTCTCAGGTATTGTCTGAAACGAACCATATTTATAACACATTAACAGTTTCTCAGGAATTGTCTGAAACGAACCATATTTATAACACATTAGTAGTTTCTCAGGTATTGTCTGAAATGAACCATATTTATAACACATTAACAGTTTCTCAGGAATTGTCTGAAACGAACCATATTTATAACACATTAACAGTTTCTCAGGAATTGTCTGAAACGAACGTTCCTGCTTTTGTGACATAATCACTTCATTCCCAAGATGTATGCTCGATTGATCCTGTTTTTATGTCATAATTCCACTCATACACACAAGTGAAATATTGATGCACAGATTTATAGAAATTAGAAAAAGGTGGAAATTAGTCTTACTTTGGAAGTATGTAATGGAAGTGATGCCACATTAGGACTTTTAACAGTGTGGTATAAAGACAGTCCTTTTTCAAACACTTACAGAATCCAGACTAGCCCTTGTTTCGTCCAACTCGGCCTGGAAAGCTTGACAACGGCGTTGACAAACCTCAAGCTGATCCACTGTTTGCTGAAGTTTTTGATGGTTTTCGTCGTAATGGGATTTCAATTCCTTGAAAGTAGAGTGAAAAACTAGTAGAGTCATTCATTTTCCAATTTCACATTATGTTAAACATAGAAATACTTTTTGAACTAGTTGATTAATTGTTTTCTAAATTTGAAACTCAAAATAGTTTTACTGATAACAGTTTGCAAGAACGGAACTTCGTCTTTCACTTTCCAAGTAAGTTCAGGTTGGAAGGGAGAGCAGAGACAATTCCTGAGAAACTGTTAATGTGTTATAAATATGGTCTCTTGGGGATGAGTGGAATTATGACATAAAAACAGGGTCAATCGAGCATACATCTTGGGAATGAAGTGATTATGTCACAAAAGCAGGAACATCTCTTGGGGATGAGTGGAATTATGACATAAAAACAGGGTCAATCGAGCATACATCTTGGGAATGAAGTGATTATGTCACAGAAGCAGGAACATCTCTTGGGGATGAGTGGAATTATGACACAAAACCAATGTCGTTCAGGCATATTTCTAAACGTTGTCAATGTGATGTGTACCTTAGACCGTCCAAGGCGGTGATCATGCAAGTTTACGATTATTTCAATCCTGTTCACGAGCTTGCTTACTAACTACAGGAAAAACTTTCAAGTTTAAATATACCTTAGCAAAAACATATTCTTCTCTAACTTAGATTGGTAACTGAACCAGATAAGTATGATAAAGCCAGGTTTCTTCAGGTGTTAACAATTTATCCACACCACCCATAGACAGAAGGTAGACTAAAAACAATTGTCAAAATTAACTGAAAAGGTAAAAAAAAAGTTGGAATAGATACCACCGTTTATGTTCCATTTGTTAATAATTTTCTTACCACTCAGCCACTGCTTCTGTTCTTATTTAATGATCTTCTTAATATTTGGCCACACATTATATTCATTTTGTTAATAATATTTTAAACATTCTTCTCTGTGTTATTTTTACTTGCGATCTTTTTAACATTTGACTACTTATATACCCTTTGTAGTAATCATCTGAAAATCTGACCACTGTTTATGTTCCTACTGTTAGTGAGTGTTTTAGCATTTAACTATAGTTTATTTTTGCTTGTTAGTGGGGCCTTTTAACATTTGGTTACAATTTAATTTCTTCTCTTAGTAACTATTCTAAAATATGGCCATAGTTTATGTGGACTTTAGTTCTTATTTAGAGTTCTCACTTTAATTCTTAAGCCATAATTTCTCCAACGATTTGTTCCAGCAATCATTTCTTTCTTTAGTACCAACACCTGTCTGACCTTATTTTAACCTGTCTTTCCATATAATAATGTTCCAAGCTGATGGACTGGTTTGGGGTGTAAATACAACAATATCACAGTCAGTTTGTTAATTACTAAGTTATCAGACTTATACAGTCAACATGATTTATGTATGTCTCTCTTAATGGTGTTCACCGGAACTTTGATCGAACTTGAACCCAGGATCTCTGGCTAAAAAGGTCAGTATTAACTAATGTACTTGATGTCTCAAAAAAGTATTATCTTTTGATTGATTAGGACAAGACACTTGAGAAAAAAAGTTTTCCGTTGTTTATAAAAAAAGGAACGAATGCAAAGTTTGAAGGGGCATAATATAGCCATGTTTTATAATCAAAGGGTTTTACGAAATTAATGATCCCCCGACGTTTGACATACAAGCCTTCATCAGGATTAAGTATTTCTGGTGAGGTTGAGGTGATCGAATATCAATCTTTGTCATGGTTAGTAGCATATATATAATCACTATAATTCAAATTATTAACTAATTACTAACTTTTTTTAACTATTGGATACTAATTACTAACTAGTTTATATCCTACGTTTTGTTTCCTAATCTCTGGTGTTTTCAAGGACGTCCTGAGGACTGTGTTTTATGGTGTTAGTAGCCAAAAGTCCATCATGTGTCGTCTTGAAGATTAGTAGGAAATGTTAAAAGTTTAGCTATTACCCTGGAAAGGAGTCGAACACTTAGTCATTACCCTAGTGAGGAGTCAGAAAGTTAGTCATTACCCTGGTGAATGATTGAAAACTTAGTCATTACCATAGTGAAGATTTGAAAACTTAGTCATTACCATAGTGAAGAACTGAAAACTTAGTCATTATCATAGTGAAGGGTTGAAAACTTAGTCATTACTATAGTGAAGGGTTGAAAACTTAGTCATTACCCTGGTGAGGGATTGAAAACTTAGTCATTACCATAGTGAAGGATCGAAAACTTAGTCATTATCATAGTGAAGGGTTAAAAACTTAGTCATTATCATAGTGAAGGGTTGAAAACTTCGTCATTACCCTGGTGAAGGATTGAAAACTTAGTCATTACCCTGGTGAGGAGTCAAAAACTTAGTCATTACCCTGGTGAAGGATTGAAAACTTAGTCATTAACCTGTTGAAAATTTTAAAGCTGGTTATTTCTCTGACCTAATGTTTCAAATAAAGAAAGTTGGATATCAAAGAGCTTTTCAATCATTTCTAATATAATGAAGAGACGCCCTTTAATTTTAGTGTAATCGGTATTAAGAAATTCATTAAACCAAACTACACATCATAAAATCATATATCTGCTACTTTTCACCAGAAAAGAATCACTAATATTCTATTGGGTGCCAACCCAATTAATTAGTTCTGGTAGCGAACAAAAAAGTCACCTTTGTAGGTATTTAATTCGAAATCTACAAGAAATCGTATAAAAAGAGAAACATCTTTATTTTCGATCCCAGTCATTAGGCTTGACGAATTTCATTATTTCACTAACTTTGACATTTCTCGTCAACACACAAGTCTTCCATTTAACAAGTCCACCTCCCTCTCCTATGATAGAGGACACTGCTATTGATATTTCAATATTTTCACAGAATGAGAACAAACAAAATGACACCCTCCACTGCCTTTGCCACAGTTTTTAAAACAAGATGAATCTTCATAAATAGCACATCATAGTGAGAAAGACTGTAATAAAGCTGTGTACTTCATTCGCATTTGCAGATATTTTTAATCTAATTATCAAGGTTTTCTTGACATAGCAGAAGAGATTTAACCATTAGAACTCTCTGAGTGAAGCCCCTTAGTGGCACAGTGGTACGTCTGAAGCCAGGTTTCGATACCTATGGTAGGCAGAGCACAGATAGCACTTTGTGTAGCTTTGTGCTTAACAACAACTCTGACTAAAGTCGTTTCACTAAAAAAAATCAATATCTGGATTTAGGTACCAGCATCGTTAATCAAACATTTAATTCCAAAGTTTTCAGTTAATTAGACAGATGCTTTTCATACTTTATTACTTACAGGTTATTGGACACTCATATCTGAGTCATCCAAACATATATTTATGCATCTTTATTATCAAACCAACGTGGCAAACGTATTACAGCAGATGATCAACAAATGCTTAGCAAAACAAAAATGTTTTCTGAATAAGAAAACCTAAATTTTAAGATAACACCCCTAATGTAATTGACAAAAAGTGGTCACAGAGTCTTTTTCTTGTTTTAATATTTGGTTGTGCTCCCTCTGGCTTTTATAACTGCTTGACATCGCTGATTGTAGTCAGGGGTGAGTTCATGATGCCACACATGGAATAGGGTTTCCTGCAGTTCAAGATCGTTTCTAGGTTCCTTCTCTTGAATTTTGTTACCTTCCAACAGTTTTTGATAGGGTTGAGAACTGGGCTGTTGCCTGGCCAGTGTAGTGTCTTGATCCTCTCCTTTCAAAGATAGTTCTTAACTTGAAGAAATGAAATTTGAGATGTCCCTTCAATACATGTAGATTAAATTTTCCTCTTTATTTCATATCTAATGCATAGAGTGCATGAATATTACCAATATTTTAACTTTGTGGCATGGAACAGAGTCATCCTGGAGTGTGTACTGGTCAGCTCTACCGAAGTTATCCCGAATTGTTGACTTTAGCCGGGACTCGAGGATCTTGATGTACATGTTGGCATTGACAGTGCCCTTTACAATAATCATACGTCCCACACTCTGGCCAGAGATACATCACATGACCTTGTGGATGCTTCACAGATGCACTCGATGAAACTCTTATCCTGGTTAATGTTATACAAAGGGCTTCCCACCAGACCTGTGAAAGTTGATCTTTGATTCATCCGAGAAGACCACTTTGCTCCACATTGCTTCAATCCATTCATCATGCTCTTTGGCCCAGTTGAGCTTCATCTTCCTCATTTTGTTTATGAGGAGGGGGTTTCGTTCTTGTCCATCTTACTGGAAGACCGGCTGAACACAGGCAAGACCAAATGGTTGCAGTAACAGCGACTCCTGAAGTTTCCAAATAGCAATAATCTTAATACAGTAATTGATCCCTGTCACTTTACAATATACATGGGATGGGCAACAGGAAGTAGCAAATAATCTTAAACCCTAAGTAGCAGCTGAGAAGAAAACGATAAGACTTGAAAAAGCTGATAATAATAATAATCAGACTTAGAAAAGAAAGTAACAGCAATGGTAAATGTGACAATTAGAATGGTGGAAATATTTATTGTATCACCCGATGTTTTCTTCAAAATCATCATCTGTTTGAGGCACTAATGCATGGATGTGAAGAGTTGCTTCATGGATGACGCAGTACTGTCTAATTATTACCAAGGGTATTGCATCAGCCATAATATTTGGCTATAAGTAAGGTTCTTAATGAGAGTAAATTTAAAAGCCTATCTGCTACAGTGTGCTAAGGGTTACGAGCTAACTCCACAGAAGAAAGCACTTATTTGTTTCTTTGAGCAAAGAGGGACTTTTGATAACACAGATTGATTGAAGAATTAAATTTAACCAGTCTACTGTTAGATGATGGGTCTAGAGATGTAGGGGGACTGGCTGTGTGAGGTGATGGAAGGGGTAGGAATATAGCTTCCACAGCACCTGACGATTATGTGCGGAAACAGACGAGCCTGCAGAATCGTTGACTCTCGTCACAGATCTCAAAATTGTATGGCTATTGTATGACTCAATTGTGAATTTAATTTGTGATTTATTATTAGTGTTTATCTTTAAAAAATAAGTTTTTTGCTATAATTTCTGAGCCCTTCTGCTACCCGACTCTCTAATTAAACAATTACATGTATCGTAATAATTTTCTAAGGTGCTAGACTACTTTAAAGTAACACTGTTGGGCTTTAATAGGCTTTCATTGATCACAAGACGAACGTAGAGTCAGTTGTGCAAAGTTTCGCGCTTACTGATGTCAACTTCTTTAACGGACCATTTAATTTACGACAGTACATAATACAAACCACTAATGTTGATGTGTTTCGTAAGAAAGGTATACTTTATTTTTTCTTTAATGTTACTTTCATTAAACAGTACAGGTTAGACTGTTTAACACGTAAATATTTATTATTTTTGATTTATTATAATATAAAGATTGTTTACTAATATGATGTTCGAGCATAGTGAGATATCATTAGGATAACGGCCGAAAATGCCGTGAGGATATCCAACCATTCCAAAATTTAACGCTACTAATCAGCGGTCCTCCAGTGGAACAGTGGTAAATCTACGGACTTACAATGCTAAGATCTGGGGTTCGATTTCCCGTGATGGATGCAGCAGATAACCCAATGTGCCTTTGCTTTGCTCCCAAACAAACAAGGAAAAGTACTAATCAGCGTTAGAACTATCATGGCGTCATGGTTCAATACTTACTTCAACTCTTTGTTAACTCTGTTAGCAATTCCAAGATAAATGTCAGGCAAAAGAAAAAAATTCAGAAACGTCGCTAGATAATACATATATATCTTTTCAATTTCACCGTTATGTTTCCACAGTGATTGTATTCTAAAATATAAAGTTTATTGATCCATCCAGGTTTGCAGTAAACTCAAGTGACTTATCCCAAATAGAAGCTGCCATATTACATTTTGAGCCAACTTTTAAGCAATACCGGAAATCAACGATAACAGAAAACTTTGACATTAGCGCACTAACACTGAATGACAACGTTGAAGTTTGACGTATATTTAATTAGCTATACCGGATTTATTTACATTGCTTGCTTTGATCAGAAGATAATATTAATATTGTAAATAAAAGAACACAATTAAACTTTTAGAAATGTGAGGGTGAGCCGAGTAGTTGCCTTAATAAAATCACAAAATTTATATTTCTTAAATATTTATTGGAAAATCTTATATTTTCTCACTTGGTAATCTTATCTTCAAGCATTATGAAACATCCTCCTACAACACTGTTATACAACATTGATGATTTTACTAACAAGCTGATTTTCTTATTGTTGTTGGAATATAAAATACTTCTGTACTAATTTAATGATATATATATATATATTGTACTTCTAAAAATACTGCATTCTTCAGGCACAGCGCTTCAAAAGAACTGCCGAACAGTCTCTAGAAGAAGCTCAGTCTCTTGTTAAAGAGCTTACCACCGAGAACACGAGACTCATTTGTGACAAGACTAACGTGGAGACCGAGCTGTCTGGTTTGCAGGCTGACTATGACGTGCTCCAAAAAGAACTTAAGGTAAATAAAATCACGAAGAACACTTATCTAATGTCGATTTTAATCTTTTTTTTTATCTCAGTTCAAACAAAACGACTGTAGAGAAGTGAACTGAATAAAGACCACAATCATAATTGATAAACTTTTTATTCATATACAAAAACGTTCTTAAATATAGGCAACTGAAGAACGCGCTACCCGGGCCGAGACAGAGCTAAGACACACTAAAGACCGATTGACTCAGGAACAAGACCGTTTCCTTAAGATGGACTCCATCAAAAACGCACTGGAGGTGGAAGTGCGGAATCTGCAAAACCGGATAGAAGAAGTGGAGTCCAACGCCTTGGCGGGTAGCAAACGAATGATTGCGAAGCTGGAAACAAAGGTGCGCTTATTTATCCCTGAACTACTAAACCTAAATAGAAATACAGTACTATGATGTGGTATAAAATTAGATCTCTGAGGTTTTATTTATCTGTTTTACTGTTCCTTTAATGTCATTATTTCACAACTGTTCTCAGTTAAAGAATGTTTCGTGATAATTCAGTGGGTATGCATAATGTTGAAAGTCTGAATGTTATTTCACTCGAGATCATCCTAGATAAAGATCACGAAATAATATTCCTCTAATACGCTGATAGGGATCGAACACACTCTGCAAATATGTTTATTATCCCGACATGAAGCGTAAAAATGTTTTTACTTGGTGTTTGAAACACGAAATAATATTCCTCTAATACGCTGATAGGGATCGAACACACTCAGCAAATATGTTTATCATCCCGACATGAAGCGTAAAAATGTTTTTACTTGGTGTTTGAAACAGAGTGAAAGTTATACGTAGTTATATGACTAAGATAAGTACGTTTTATCATAAGATCCGGGACATTGAAATCGACTACGAAGAAGAGAAACGCCGCCATGCGGAGACACAGAAGGTGATACGCAAGAAGGAACACCGTCTTAAAGAACTGCTTCTGCAGACAGAAGAAGATCACGATACCATCCTTAGTTTGAAAGACTGTGTGGAAAGTTTGAGCGAAAAATGCAAAACATACAAGCGTCAACTGTCTGAACAAGTTAGTTGTTATTTATTTAAACATAAATACACAGAGGGTTGAATAAATAGATAATCTCGAACACCTTCATTTCTGTTATTATTTTGTAAACTAGACAATAATAGGCATTTTGAGTTAGCAACAGATGGATCTTGGTGGCTCAGTGGTAAGTCTGAGTGCTTATAATGCTAAAAATCGGGTTTCGATACCCGCGGTGAGCAGAACACAAATAGCTTATTGTGTAGCTTTGTGCCCAACAATAATAACCAAACAAAAAATCACCATATAAAGTACTTTTATTTCTAGTGTTTCTCTCTATCACGTTCATTTAAACGGCCATAAACGTTTCGACAACAAAGTGTCATACATTCTAAACAACGTAAATCTTTAATAACAAAGTTCTATTCACGGGTCAAATTGAACATCTTTTGCCGTCCTTTCAATTAAAACATCTCCTCAACCAAAAACATGGTCTCTCTTCACTCTTGGATTGTCTAAAAATACACGTGTGGCGACTGCAAAGCCACCTATAAAGCAAAAACTAAACTACATTTTCCCGCATCCATAAGTACATGGAAGTGTCATTTAAATCAGGTGGAATACTTTTAAGTCCATCGAATTCGACGATTCAAAAACACAGACACGAAACTGGACATCGGATAATTCACTCAGGATTCACCATTATACGCAACTAGCTGAAGGCCTGTCATATGACGATAAATACTTATTTATTTTGATTCGGTAAATTTGTTCTAAATAATTGTTTTATCAATATATTTTCTAAAATAAATGAAATTATAATAAGACTGTATTTAAAAAAAATTATTGTCTCTTTTCTAATATTTCACGAAAAATATTTTGTAACTTGTCATCACTTGTGTATGTCTGTGAAATTTTATACTTGCGTAGGATTACATACAATTAAAATGTAATATTAATTTAGCAAAAACACACACATTAATGGGAAGACCTCTATAACATCAAAACAACAGAAAAATAAAAAGTTAATCTCAAACACATAAGCTACTGAAATTTGTCATATTCTAAACGTTTATGTTTATATTGTTACGACAGCGGAAGTCACGTGACTCTAGTAACACGTGATGAGTATGTAGACGATTCAAGAAGAGACGAGATGTACGCTTTTATAGTATATAAGCCGGCAAATAAAGTGACGGCAAGAATATAGTTGCAGATAGAAAGACTGAGGATAGACACACGGATAATCGTGTCAAGCGGGCACCGTAAGATTGAAAACATAGACGGACAATTGAGTCAAGCGCGGTAGTAAGTAAAGTGCGTGAATCGTTTGTTGTAAATTTTAGCGTGTGTCTAAGGTAAGGTGACTGTGGAAATTAAGTGTATTGCAAAGTTGAATTGAGAAAGAATAAACTAGTTTTATTTGACAAAGGACTTGTATCACTGAAGTTCTTCGGAAAGAATTTTTTCGAGTAATTAACAAACGACCAGAAACGTAACAACACCCTCTTGACACCAAAAAAGTCCGCCTTTTCCGATTTGAGACCAATTGTTTATCGTTTTGCCAAAAGTTGCTATATTGGTCCCTTTGACCTTACTTTGCGGCGCCAAAAAGGCCTCTGAGACCGCGGTCACATAGCCCATATTACCTCTCGCACAAAGTTGTATCTGTAACTCGAGTTTGTGGCTTTAAACATGTGGCCGTGCATGAGGTGCAAACCCACAGAGAGAGAGAAACATTCGAGCTTATATACATATATATATTAAGAAGGAATAGTTTAGGGATCACAAATTAAATTTTCAATTTTACTTTTGTGAAAAGAAATATGTAATATCATCATGCCCCCTCAGTGGCACAGCGGTATGTCTGCGGATTTACAACGCTAGAAACCGGGTTTCGGTGCTCTGCCCACCACGGGTATAGATATCCCATTGTGTAGCTTTGTATTTAATTACAAACTATAGGTTAATTTTTCCCCCAGTGACACAGCGGTATGTCTACGGACTTACAACGCTAGAATCCGGGTTTCGATACCCGTGGTGGGCAGAGCACGGATAGCCCATTGTGTAGCTTTGTATTTAATTACAAACTATAGGTTAATTTTTCCCCCAGTGACACAGCGGTATGTCTACGGACTTACAACGCTAGAATCCGGGTTTCGATACCCGTGGTGGGCAGAGCACAGATAGCCCATTGTGTAGCTTTGTGCTTAATTACAAACAAACAAATAAATCTGATATTTCTTTTCAGTTTCTTAAAGTTCAGACACGAAACATTCATAATATATATATATAAATCATCGATTTATTCTGTAGTGACAGAAAACTCTTTGTGTTACTATTAACAAGTTTCATTTCATCAACGTGAAAAATGGAACACAACTTGACAAGTCTTTCAAACTGGCCATGTTAAAGGAATGGTGAAGTGTTTGGACAAAACGCTCTTCGAAAATGTTTTGGCGATGATTTAATATTCACGAAACCTTTATCTACATAATACCTACTTTGATCTATCGCCAGCTGCTCGTGGTAGAGCTCTAGATTTCGAATTTCGTGAGCCGGGTTCGAACCCGTGCGACATTAAAAAAACAACATTCACTGTACTTTAAGCTGTGGTACATTATAAGGGTTACTCTTAGCGTGAATGTTAAGATGCTGCAGACTGGTGGCAGATAGCCTTAGTAACTTTGATATAAATACAAATGCTATATTTCAATTAGATTTTGTTAATCCAAAATACACAAAACATTTAATCTACCGAATAATAGCTCATGTAGAACCTATTAATGGTTTCAGCAAGGTTTACTTATAAAGGAAGAATTTTAATTGGATGAAATTAAACCACTCGCCAAAGGCATACGTCAAAATATTTTTCGTAAGCAATCATTTCTAACCCAATTATAAAATGGTATACTTTTTTTTATCAATATCTAAAAGTTTAGATGGAAATTAAAAGCCCATTTTTCATAGATAGACGGACAAAAACTTTGATTTTTTAGCCGCGTCATAATGGCTCATAGAACGTCTCTGAGTTTGTTTGTTTTTTCGAGTTTTAACTCATAGCTCCATCATCTGTTGACGGAATTGAGATCTAATTACAGTTTTGGACTCAGGAGGTCAAACCCTTTTGATTAATGCATTTGACTAAGCCCAAGGTCTCGTAGATTAATATATTCTAATCTTGCCTAAAAGAATTTCAGTTTGAGGGTATACTGTTAGAGATCCTAATGAGTAATAAAATCGAATCGAGTATACGCGCCCCACTCTTGGTATTGCTGGCGCACAAAATATATATCTAATAAAAAAGGGAAAAAAAGGCCTCGTGCATTAATTTATTCTAATTCTGCCTAAAAGAATTTCAAGTGGCGCGGATATTGAAGATTCCCTTATATTACTTTTTTTAAACTCCATCATTTCTTTCACAATTCACGGTGAGTTGTTTTTCATATTCTGACTTTTGATACTTAGCTGCAAAAGAAAGAACGAGATATTGAGCTACTAGTGCCCTCTCAAAGACAAAAAACAAACAAATCCACTTGATGGACGTGGTACCACCTCTCTATCAGTGTGATTGGCTGAATAACTCGCGTACTTTCTGCTCCGTTAGGCTAGCGTGTTGTAATCGTCGTTTACTCAGTCGTTATCGTCGATATCTTATAGTTTCTTGTATCACACGACAGAGGGAGTAAGGAGTTGAGTGTTTTTCAAATTCTTTACAAATATATATATACTTCCAATTACTTTGATAAATAATTGGGGGAAACGTGATATAAACTCAAAGAACGCCACCCCCCTCCCCAGTAGCACAGCGGTATGTCTGCGGACTTACAACATTAGAAACCGGGTTTCGATACCCGTGG